CCCCCCCAGCTGCCTCTTGCCCAGTGCAGACTCACAGGATGCTGGTCTGCGAGGGCACGGCAGGAACAGCCTACAGCATGAGATGCATGCAGCACACCTTATGTGAAAGCACAGGCAGTGGCTGGGGCACCACATGCTAGCTGGGGCTGGGGCTGGAGCTGGGGCTGGAGCTGGGGCTGGGAGGACCAGTGCTGTGCTCCACAGAAGCAGCTTGAAGCCAAGTGCAGCTCTGGCCTGGGCCATGCTGTGGGCAGCAGGAGTTCAAGGGGCTCCAGGCAGTCTCCATCCTGCCCAGGCTGGAGCACGGTGGCTGTGGCTGTAGCTGTGGTGGCTGCAGGTTGTGCAGAGAGCTGTGGAGTACATCTGGCCCTGACAGACTGGAGGAAGGAGATGGGAACGCCTGTCACACCCACTGTCCCAGGCTGGGGTTCCTGTGCTGCAAAGGGAAACCTGCAATTTCCTGTTTCCCTTCTTTAAAAGGGAAAAGTCTGCATTTTTCCACATTTTTCCATGGGAAACAGAAACCTGGATCCCTAAGGATCATAATAGTACCTTCTAGCTTCAAAATCAATATATGATATTCCTAAGACCCTTATACAGATAAAATTCCTGGTGGGAAAAAATCCTAATGTTATTTTCACAGGTAAATCTAATTGGAATAACTTGGGAATTTTATCTATGTAAAGACTAAGTTAAAAACAAAGTTCAGATACTGTTGTTAAAATCCAAAGTGTAGCTTCAACTGGATTTCTGACTGTCTTCATAGATAATTGAAACAGAAAGCACTGAAATTTAAAGAAAACATTATTTACTGCATGGTAAATACTTAAACATTTAAACATTTCTACTGACGTATCAGTTCTTTTGCACATTACAAGATTGGGTACTTCCTAGCACAATATTCTAATTCTAAATACAGCTTTACCACTAAAGGGATGTCTACACTGATAAGCAGTTGTTGATCCTAAGATCACACTCAATCAGGCTGAGCCATATGAACCATTATTATAATACTTTTTAGTCTGTGCCACTGGTATCTACATTAGGGGTTAGCAATTTATGGCCCATGGGCCAGATCCAGCCCGCAGAGTTTTTGGAATCCAGTCCAAGCAGAGCTCTGTCTGCACCGTGTCACATGATACTCAGGTGGCATGGGGTCCAGCAGAGGGGCTTCTGCTGTGCCATGCTGCAGGTAGGCAGCGGGGAGAAGCAGCAACAGTGACTATGTCGGTCCTAATGTCGCACGGACATGGTGTGGGTGTGTGGCATTTGTGAGACGTGAGGGGAGGGCGTGGGGACCCCTCCCCCCCCCGCATGGTACACAGCCACTGCAACCAGCAGCAGCAGCAGGCAGGGGCCCTTGGAGTGTTCATGGTCCGCGCAGGCACTGCTGCATGGTAATGTGCAGCTCCAGCCAGTTTCAGGAACTGCTTGTGGGGGTAAGGAGTGGAGCCAGGCCAGCCCACTTCTATCATGTGGGCTCCCTGCAGATCACATGCAGCTCCCGCCACTTGTGTGCCACCAGAGGGAAGCCCTGCATGATAGACCTGGCTGCCTTGCCTGCTCCCTGCCACCACATGCAGGTCCCGGGACTCTACCAGGAAGCAGGGGGCGGGGCTCCCCTCCACTTCCACTAGAGTTCCAGGACCTGCACATGGCAACAGAGAGCAGGGAAGGCAGCTGGTTCCATCTCACAGGGCTTCCCCCCAGTGGTGCGTGAGTGCTGGGAGTTGCATGTGACCCACGGGGAGCCCCACGTGGTAGAGGCAGGCTGGCTTGGCTCTGCTCCTTGCTACCACATGCAGCTTCTGGAACTGGCTGGAGTTGCATGCTGCTGGGTGGCCGTGCCTGCACAGGCCATGAACACCCCAAGGGCCCATGTCTGCTGCTGCTGCTGGCAGTGGGGGCTGTGCACCATGGGGGCAAGTGTGTGGGGGGGGGTCCCCACATACCCCCATCCTTCCTCACACCCCACAAATGCCACACACCCACATCCTGCCCACCCGAGCTTCACACTCCCAGTCCCCCTGGGTACATAACCTGGGCTCCACACTCCCCACAACCCCAGTCCTGATGCTCTGTGCTCCCATCCAGCTGCAGTTCCCGCCACCCGTCTGCCTGCCCGGTGCTGCCGCCCCTTCCCTACCTGGTGCCTGGAGTGAGCACTGCAACAGGGGCAGGAAGAGGAGCTGCTAGAGTCCAAGGAAGCTGAGCTGGTCCCCCAGTCACTGCAGCAGTGCATGCTGGCCAAACCCGTGCCCTCCCACGCAAAAGAGTGGGAGTGATGTGCACAGGCAGGGTGAGGTACAATTAATTGGTGGGCACCCACAGACTGGATCCAGCCTGTGGCCTGTATTTTATCCACCCCTGGCTTAGATAGTCAGAATATGTACTTAAAAATGGCCTGAGGGTCAATCCTATCAGTATAGACATAACCAAAATTCAACCTATTACTATAACGATTACTATAACCATTGCTGCCATATTCAAATTTCAATCTGTTATCATCTGAAAGATTAAAAGTCAGATGAGTTAAGAATAACTTCTTAATACTCCTTGCACTTCAGGAAGGAACCTGTTACAAGGGGAAGATCACTGTTTTTGCCCAAAGATTTATCTTTCTATTAGTGTTTTGGGAGAGTGGCTTTTAAGTCACTCTTTC